GTTTTAATATAATTAAAATTACGTTTTCTTATAAAAATACATTATAAAATTATTTAAAAATACATTTATTTATAAAATTAATTGAATTTTCAGGCCGGGCCGGGCCGGTCCATAGTCGGTCCCATAACCGGTCCCGGTCCCACGAAACTACCAAAAACCTCAACCGATCCCGGTTTTCAGTCCCATAACCGGTCCTTACCGGTCCCGGTCCCGGACCGGTCCTCCGACAGTCCCGAACCGGGCCGGGCCCATTTGGCCATCTCTAGTCTAGCCTAGGCATGTGGTCTACATCCACAATTCCAGGTTGCCTCATTTGAATTCAAGTGCATACGTCACAAAAAAATAATTGTGAAAGAAATTAACTAAAATGGGAAATTAATTAAATTAATCATTTTGATCGGTTGGTTTTATCTTTTAGTCATTTTCTTTATAAGGTTTACCAAAATAGTCTTAGATATGCAATTTCTTAAAAAAATTGTAGACATGGGTGAAAAATATAATTTATTTTATGGACAGGGGTAGAAAGTGTAAAAAGAAATTGTCGTTTAGTTGGTTCCGCAATTATGGATGTGGGTTTTTTGCAGACTAAGATTATTTTAATAAACTTGGAAAGAAAATCGCTAGGAGGTGAAACCCAATTAAAAAAAAAAATAAATAGGTAGTCGATTAAGTGCGGTCCAAATATACATATCCACACACCTCCTAAATTTGAAAGGTTTTGGGGGCTGTTTATCTAAACACTTATCCGGTAAGCACTTACAGGTAAAATTCAACACTATCGTTTACTTACCGGATAAGATTTTATTCACTAAAACACATCGTATGGAACAATTTATCCCGGTAAGCGCTAACCATGGTAAGAGTCATCGTCCTCACTTACCGGGTAAGACTCTCGATTCTTGCCTTTGTTCTTACAGGGTAAGATTATTAGCCATTGTCATATTTATTCGGTAAAGTAAAATGACTTGGTAAGCACTTACCCGAGTAAGCGTTTGGTAAACGGCCCCTAAATCGCTCGGTTTGTTTAGGTTATCTTGAATTCTTGATCTTGATTATTCCATTAAATTCAACATCTTATCCTAAATTTATTGGTTTATTCTTTTCTTTAATATTTAAAGCTTATATTTTTAATTAAAAAGTAAAGTATCATGACTGCATTATAAATATTTTAACATACATTGGATAACAAAGTCTTGAAGGTACATTAATTATTACACGAAACCTTAATAATACGATAAAAACATCATACGAAACACCTTACATTTACGTAAACGCACATGTTCAACCATTAATTGTCGCAACCAAGCGTGGGATGACTAGAACTTCAAGCGGAGTTGCCTTAGCGTTTGTCATTCCAGCCGTTTCGGTCATATCGACCGGTGCACCATTTGGCGTAGAAATATCAAAGTTATGTAACAAAGTGGCTAAAACCAAATGTAACGCTTGAAGCCCGAAACCCATCCCAGGGCAAGATCTTCTCCCTGCACCAAAAGGGATCAACTCAAAGTCTCCTCCCTTAACGTCAACATCCTTATGGTTAGGGGTCAAGAACCTCTCTGGTCTAAACTCAAGCGGGTCAGACCATATCTTCGGGTCGCGATGGAGCTTCCACATGTTGATTAGGAGCCATGTTCCTTTCGGGACATGGTAGCCAGATACGGTGCAATCCTTGGAGAAGGCTCTTGGACCACCTAGAAATCCGGCTGGGTACAGTCGCAAAGTTTCCTTTACTATGGCTTGGAGGTAGACAAGATTTTTAATGTCTAATTCATTTACTTGTCTATCTTTCTCCACGTGCGTTTCTAGCTCTTCTTGAGCCTTTCTGAGCGCATACCGGTTGTTCAGTAACAACGAGAGCGCCCACGTTAGCATGACAGAGGTTGTATCCGTGCCACCGATAATAAGAGACTGCAAAACATGTAAATTAGTGTGCTATATATACACCCTTCAAGAAATCATTGAAAATATCAAGGAGAAACGGTTTAAATATAGCCGATGTAGGACTCTAGTAAAGATAGTGGGTTATCGATGGATTTCTAGCTGTACGCACCGTGCAGGTGGCTTTTACGATGGTATCTGCATCATAATTCTCGAAGGCACCTGATTCTACCTCCGAGATCATCACATCGATGAAGTCTCTGGCCCCTGTAATCTTGTCCGAATCCCTCTTCTGGCGGTGTTCAGCTAACCATTTCCCAACGATCAAATCGAGTTCTGTGGCAACTCTTTTCATGGTCTTCTCGTATCCGCCCAAATCTAACCACCCTAGAAAAGGGAGAGCGTCTGCCATCACAAACCGCCCCAAGTAAAGAAACCATTCCCTCATCACTTCACGAAGCTTCTTCGTCTCCTCCTCATCTTCATCGTTGTCCATGGTTGAAGTGTACCGTTTTCCAGCCACCATTCTAAGCACTATATTCATCGTCAATTCTCCAAACCATCTCTTCATCTCCACCAACACTTTCCCTTCCTCGTCTCTCTTCTCTCTCCAAAGCTGAAGCATGTTTTTAATGGAGTTCTCCAGCTCAAACACTTGAACAAACTGAAGTTTATCAAGTCGACTGCTGGACAACAACTCCAGAGAGATGGTTTTACGCATTCCACGCCAATACGGACCGTAAGGAGCAAATGAGAAAGCAGCATAGTTGTGTCCCAAAATCTTGGCTGCAAGGTATTTGGGACGGTCGGAAACAATGACATCATGGGTGGTGAAGATCTCCTTAGCAATCTCCCAACCACTCACCACCAAGACTCTTCGTATGCCTAGCCGGACGGTGAAAATGGGTCCATAGCGGTCAGCCAAGGATGCCAAAGCTAGATGAGGAAGATCAGATGAAGCTCCAAAAAGCTTGAAATGGCCGATTATAGGCCATGCACCACCTGCTTCAGGTGCAGTACTAGTGGTTCTGTTATAGATGAATGATAAGCTGTAGACGACTAGAAATATGGCCAAAGCTTCAACCATGACCAGACTGTAATTTTCTTGCAAAGAGAAGAGATCCATGAGGCAATTATTGATTTGATTCACGAAACGTGAGCATGTACGTATATAGTGGTCGAGTTCATCGAATTTTCAACGCAACAGTGACTCCTTTGTTTTAAGAATATCTTTGAAGCAGTGGAAATTTAAAAATATGATCGACCAATGGATCATAGAATTAAGAAACCAAAACAATGACAGATGCGGGAAATTGCTGGGTTCCTTCCATCCATGGCCGCCGCCACCACAGTCCTTCCAGTCACAAACCCAATCAAATTCGTCGTTTACGAAGATCCCACACAAAACGATGGGTTGTGTTGAAATTTTGTATATGCACTTTTTTGTCTTGTAATTATGTTATATTTTTTAAGAATATACAGTACACCGAGTCTCTGAAAGCAAAATCTAATACAGAAAACGGGTCCCGTTTTGCTCGTTATATTAAAAAAAAAACATTTTATTTTTATTTTTTTGGATAAAATTTTAAAAATATTTTAATGTTATTGTGATACACTTTAATATATCTAATTAGGTCAATCAAATACACTTAAAAAATACGTTTTATTGTTGTTTTATAATTGGTTTTCGATCAAATACAATTAAAAGTTACGTTTTATTATTGTTTTATAATTGGTTTTCAATCAGATACAATTAAAAGATATGTTTTATTGTAAATTTGTAATTTGATTTTCAATCAAATGCACTTAGAAAGTTATAAATACATTTAAAAATACATTTTTTTTAAATCGGGCCGGTACCGAGCCGGGCCTATAACCGATCCCAAACCGGTCCCGGTCTCGATCTTGTTTTTGGATGAAAACCATAATCGGTCTTTAACCGACGGTCCCAAACCAGTCCCAACCGGTCCCAGGTTGGGCTGGTCCTAAGTCGGTTCCGGTTTTCCGCCGATTCCAGATCGGGACAGGCCCATTTGACTATCTCTACTGCTCTATAGGCTCTGTGTATGAGTAAGTGGGTGATGTGTGAGCCTTTGAACTTGGAATTATCTATACTATATTATAAAGCATTTGATAAAAACTTTTAAAAACCATTTTTTATGC